GTTTTGATTTTTTTTTAAATTATAGATTATCCGGATAAAAGAACACTTAATAGCGCTGAAGTACTTTGAAGAATAACAGAAGAATGATTAGTCTTAAAAAATCCAGTTTCTGACCAGTGGCATAAACAGGATTGTACAAAGGCTGACTATGATAGACAATATTGTGTTGCATTGTTTGTACAGTGTATTATCTATAGAATATATTTTCATGCACGGATCTAACCCTTACTTTCCGGGATACGTCACTGCTTCTGACCGTTGTAATCCAATTTTTTAAAGCATATTAAATTATGTGGAATAAAATATTGGAGTATATGTATTTTGCGTTAACTCTTCTTTTTTCAATAATTTTTTATATTTCAATCAACTGAAGTACTTTAATATTTCTTTAAAAGCTCATCCCACTTTGCTAGTAATTTTTAAAATAGCGCAAATGGGGCTCTGTCATGTTTTAAATTTATATATTTTGTTGCTTATTCCGTAATTATTGTTGATTTGAAGCTAAAGAGCAAAGCGACCATGAACACGATCTCATATTATACCTGTTATAACTACCATTATCACATATACCTACTATATAATATATAATTTTTAACTTAACTTTTGAAATCCTTGCAAATAATATGCAGACATGCCTGGATTTACTGTTATCAATTTCACTCGATTCCCACCATATATCGTATGACCTAACTAACTACCTATCTAACTACCAAATCTAACATTCTTTTTGTAAAAGCAAATTTTTAAGACAAGATATTCTTCTAATTTTCCTATGCTTTTGGAAATGACTCCGTAGACTGCTTAGGAAAATCAAAAGTATTTTTGTGTACTAGAATTCTTCAAAGTATAATAATAAATTAAATATAGTTTGGATAATATGATCTACAAACACTGGAACTGGCTAAATAGTAATTATTTTCATCATGCACTGAACGATATCTACACTTGAACTACACAATCGTAATTTTGATAGGTTTCTAAATAGTTTTCAAATTACTGAACTAATTTTGTGTAGTATAATTATCTTTATTAAACGTTAGACTATATGACCAATATATACTGAAACTGGCTTCTAAATAGGTTCGAATATATCTACTCTAGTACTAGCTAATAGTGGCTTCTGTAGGTCTCTAAATAGCTCTAAATTTTGTTACTCTGATTTTTCTTGTTTCGTACATCATGGGACTCAATTTTCGAATGCCGTCTAAACCATAACGGACGGCGTTTAATTGTTTTTTTTTTAGTATATAATCCAGTCAAATTTTTTCTCCAATAGTGGTGGTAATCTGTGCTTTATGTTTATAGTCTGTGGTTATACTATTAGAATAAGAAAAATATAGTTATAGTGAAACCTACCGTGAGTGATAGCTGCAGAGCACTTTTAAGCCATAGAGTTGCATTTCTTAATCCGTCTATATATTTTTTCTAGTTTCCAATTTTCAACTTTCTCGCAACTATATTGCAATGTCAACAGGGCCAGCGTTGTGTAATACCTATCGGATATATATGCTGAATACGTACAAAAAATTTAAAATTTAATTCAATATATAATAATGTTTAATGTCTAAAGTAATGAAATTCACAAATTATACAATAAATAGATCAGAATTTTTAGATGAAGACAGTTTTTTTACATAATCCCTTATTTTTGAAATAAAAACTTCTATTTCAAAACGCTTCTTTCGACATATCTGGAATTTTTGATCCATTTCAAGGTGATTTAAGGTCAATTCTTATTGGGTCCAATAGGTCCATGTTGTATTTAGTAATAAATTGATACAGAAATTCATCTGAAATATGTTAAAATATCTTTAAACATTTTTGCACTTAGTATAAAATTGCACATACTATGCAAATATAATTTTCATCTCATCGACATCTCTTTTATATCCTTTTCTAGCTGATTTTCTAACAACTTATTGACTTGCCCCGCTATCTTTATTTAATTTCTAACTTTATTTTCTTTTATTATTTTAAATATTTAATTATATACAATATATATTTACAATATATATATATATATATTATTTGAGTCTTGGCATGGCATATCTATCGTTTTTTAATACTAAATAAAATTCCTTTTATAGTATATATCTGATTCATGGGAAGATACATCCTATTGTCGCTCCAAATTTACTTTTTTTTTATTTTATTTTTTTTCGACATGTTGCGCATTTATTTATTAATTTTTTTATTTTTCTTAAAAAGTTAATTACCAAAAAAGCAATAAAATATACAATATAAAATTTTAAAAATTGTTTTTTATACTGAAAGATATATACTGAATATATTTTTTCTGCAGTTTCTTGACCTTCGGATTTACTTTACTATTTGCTTCTTTAGTTCATTGCTTTCTTAGAGTTTCTTGTGCTTTTTAATGAAACATTTTAGCAAAACAAAAATGAAAATCTCATTTATCTTTAAATATATTTAAATTTTCATATATGGGTCATTCTTTAACAAATCGGACACCTTTTTTGAGAAATTTTTCCCGAAATAAGGGTCTTCTTATTTTATAAAAGGAGTCCGTAAAAAATTTTAAATCAATTCGGAGATGATAAGGGTATTTTTTTTCCAAAATAAAAGATTGATCTATATATTACCCACATAATCAATGTATTTATCTTAATTCTAATTTAATAAATTTAATTCTAAACAATAAAAAAAACAATGTACAGGCGGTGAAACATATTTTAAAGTAAACTTTGAAGAAAAAAAAAACTAATTTCCTTTTTATTATTGCTTTTGTTTTATTGTTCGCTAAGTTTAAGTGTAAACGCTTAAAACTTTTTTACGTTAAAAATTCCTGCCTCCATTAATTAATTATTTAATAGTATATTTACACATACTCATCAAATCGCTTTAACATATTTTTGTGTGGATTTTATATCGATGTTGTTTGGAAAAGCGACACATATTGCAATATATTTGTTGAGTTAAATACAATAGTCTAAACACAGCATACAACTAATTGTAAAAAGCGCCATCTGTGGAGCAAAAGTAATCTATTACATTTCTCCACTATTATTGTAATAAATCCCACATACAAGATTTTATTGACATTTGTCTATTCATTACCGTTGCATATGAGTCGGAATATTAACAGATATAAGTATTTTAATTGAACATTACATTATAGTGACTATGAGTTTAGAAATTAATCACATCGTACAATATTTGGAGAATATGTATATAGCTATTGGTGTAGTAAGTTTCTAAAGGGAGTCGGTAACTGTTTAATTAATCGTGATTGTAAAATCATGGTATTTAATATATGTAGAAGATAAGAAATGCATAATAAAAATGGATTATGTATAAATTTTTAATTCAAAATTTTTCTATAGAAGAATTTTGAATCAAAATGGCGGTAGCTCTCTAAAAAATAAAAGTGGTATCCATACAATATATAGTTTCGTGATTTTTTGGTATTTATTAACAAATTATAGTATGAAAAATTGATAAGATCAAGTTTTCGTTAAATAAAGACCAAAAACAAAAAAAATATATATGTGTAATATAGTTTTTTGAAATGGTTGGGAACTATGTCACCACGTCACTGCATCTTTTGAGGCTTATTGTGACATGAAATATAAAAATATAATATATATATTATAATATAATATAATATATATTATTAATATATATTATATATATATATATATATAATATTATGATATATATATAATATATAAATATATATATATATTATATATATATATATTATATATATAATATATAATATATATATATATTATAATATATATATTATATATATATAATGATATAATATATATATATATTATAATATATATATTAATATATATATATATATATATATATTATATATTAATATATATTATAATATAATATATATAATGCATATAATTTAATATGTATAATAATGTATATATACTATGATATATATTATGTAATGTATATGATAGAAATAAACAGGGTACCAGCTTCCAATGGAGCAGAGTACTGCGACCATGATATAATATATAAAATATAATATATTTAATATAATATAGAGCGGTTTCGAATAGTAGTGAACTACAACAACAAAAAATTCTTCATATATTTTTTAAATTAGTTGCATTTTTGTTGAATACTATAGAAACCTCTCTATTTAATACGATAGTTTCTATTAAGTTAAATAGTCACTATCGTCATATTGCCGTTAATATAATATATATATTTATAAAGATTTTGTTGATATATAAAATGTATTTTTAAAAGAGCATTATACAATTATATTATCTCCGTGATGCGATATAGAATTGATTTTAAAATGTTGATAAATCTAATATAATGTTGTAGTAGAATACATCAGTGACACATTGATATATTAGGTATGAATTTTTAAAGGGTCTGGCTTTTGCACTGATATATAAACAATATATATATATAAATACATATAAATTGGTAATATATATTCAGAGCATATCTGTATATAGTTTCGATATATATTAGATATAGTTATATTAATATCACCACTTCTAGTCAAACTTTTTTTTGTTTAGATAGTGAATATTGAGCGAATTCTTATCATTCTATTGATGCTTTTTATTTTGTCATTAAACAGAAAAAGATTCACAAAAATGTTTTTCTAAATATATTCATAAGTTATTTTATTCTATTTTAGAATTAAATATTTTAATAGTTACAAAATATCTTGTAAGAATTCTTCTATTATATGCATTATCTCAAGAACAAAATATATCTAATATATATGCATATTCAAAGTTTATCATAAAAATGAGTGTGCATAAGATTTCTATAAATAGCTATCTTTGTCTATATCAATAATATACCTGAGTTTCTAGATACGCAGAACTCGGAATTACATGCTTTTATATAGAAAATATTTAAATACGCCATAATTTTATTTGTTTATATACGCAAACTTTAATTCGCAATATACTCAAAAATGAAAGAAATATTTATTTTTATATAAACATAATAAATTTAATAAATATTTATTTAATAAACAATTTCAGCGATTCGACGAAATCGATGGCCAGTCAGTTACACCGCTCGTCATGGCCGCTATGTCCGGCAATATTATTTTCGTCAAAACCCTTTTGGGACAATATGATATTGACTTAGAGAAAGAGTGCAATGTTATTTTTGATGGACTTGTCGTTTATGGCGCTACTGCACTTTGGGTAGCAGCTGGTATGGGTCACATGCAGATTGTAAAATTATTAGTTAAACGTGGTGCGGATGTCAATCATAATACAAAAGCACAGTCGTCACCTCTACGTGCAGCCTGCTATGAAGGCAAGTATAATAATCATAATAATAATTATATATTTAAAATAATTTTTATAAATTTTTTTACTTTTTAGGACGATTGGATATTGTACGTTATTTAATTCAACATGGCGCAGAAGTCAACTTAGCCAATCAATATAATAATACTTCGATTATGATTGCTGCTTATAAAGGACATACTGATGTGGTGGGTTTTTAATAATAATAAATTATTTTTTAAAAAATCAGACTATCTTGTAACCTATTGCTTTTACCTCCTACTCTCTGAAATTAGTTTCTTATATTATTACCAAAGAGAGTTAGAGTGCATTCTGGTCAGTACGAACTGTTACGCCTGCAATGTTCATATATTTCAACAGATTTCCGCAATATTTAAAGACGATATTATATTCACTAAAACCGAGGTTGAATTTCACTTTCATATAATTTTATTTTAGAAACTTTCACGTTTATCAAAATATTACTATTCTGTATTAGGAAGACTTTTTATTTTAATGTTTTTAAGGGATCTTAATAATCATCTGATTTAAATGATAATATTCGACAGCTTCAATTAAGTCGGTACCAAATCAGTGCTACTATATCAATAATAATAGACAACTGCATGTTAGAAAGGCATATAGTACGACTTGATCTATCCTCTAATGATTTTTGTCGGGTTTGTTTCTTTGCGTATGAGAAAGAAACTGTACTCCACATAATATGTTAGATCCTTTCATGGTCTAAGAAAATGTTAAACAACTTTATAACCTCTTTGCGTACTGATCTGATAGAATTATTATTCTTTAAAACTATAGATATCGTATAGTGAAAATATTAAAATTTTACTTTTCATTTTCATTATTTATTTTCACTGTGTTGATTAAAATTAAATGAGTTAATGATTAAATGGATTATGATGTCAGATGTTGCTACTCTTCTTCTTGTTGACGCTACAATATATTCTTTTGACGTTTCGATGTATCTCATGTAGTTTCTCCACAACAGGATAATCATTACTTTATAATAGTCTATATATATAATTTATATACTTATTCAGTTAGTTTCCTTTTATTTGAATGCGAGATTCGGGCCTTCTCGAAAACACTATATCCGTCTGATAAATACCTTAAACTTCCTTAATGGTGGTTTTAAGGGTCATGTATGCGAACAGTGGCTCATCTGCTGTATACCAATGGCGGTTATTTGTTTTAAAATGAATTCTAGTCTGCTCATTTCCATCGAACCTATTAGTGGTGTTACTTATGATATATTACAAACTCCTAAATATTTATCAGAAAATTATTAAAAATAATATTGTTTTCAAAATCGTGCTTTTGAAGCAACCGCGTCTCCACTAGTCATATATATAATAGAAATAAATTTACCTAAGTTAGCAAGAAGTTATTTAACCTAATTTATTATACATTTTTCATACTTTACTTGTCTAGAGAGCAGAAAAGACTCTCTCTCCAAGTAAGGGTACATTTTATTGATTCATCTCCAATCGTGCACCTCAACGTTTTTTTTTTCTTGGAGACAATCACATATTTTGTATAAGAGAATTGTTTATATATGAACAATTTAACAGTCATTACTATCGATTTCAATATCTATTTCGTCTATTAAATAATACCTAATATTAATATTATTAATTCATATTACATATTTTTATTATTGCATTGCTTGTAGTAATGGACACATAATATGCATTTCATTAATTTATTTATAATTTTCATGTTTATAATATAATAAATATTTCTTATATATTTTACATAGGTTGATACTTTACTCAAAAACGGTGCAAGTCCGAATGAACAAGCACTTTGCGGTGCCACAGCTCTACATTATGCGGCTGAATGTGGTCATTTGGATGTTTGCCGTTTGCTTCTTGACCATGGTGCACGTTTACTGAAGAATGAGCAGGGTTTAACACCGGTACAACAAGCAGCAGAACACCTACATGAAGGTGTTGTGGAACTATTTATTGAAAGACCAGGACTTATGTATAAAGAAGAAGTATATAAATCTTTAAAACTTACTACAAATTTCAAGTTATTTAATACTTTGTATTTAATTTCAGGTCATAATGGCTATTGAATTAATGGGTGCTTGTTTCGCTAATGATAAAGATCATTATAATATACAAAAAGCATATCAATATTTAATGCAAGCAATGGAAATGCGTTATTCAGATCCAGAAAACATAGTACGCAAACGTGTGCTGGCACCCATAGGCGCCTATGACGATTGGTTTGAAACTGAAAATATACCAGAACTGCAAGCGATACGTTTAAATCATCACTCTATACATATGGAATCACTTACTATACGCGAACGTATACTAGGCAAATATTATCCGGATTTACCACAAGCAATAGTATATCGTGGTGCTGTAATGGCCGACCAAGGTCGTTTTGAACAATGTCAGACCTTATGGAATTATGCTATTGATTTGCGTATGATTAATAATGTATGTTTGTTATTTTGTATTTAAATATATTATATCTTTGTGAATAATTTTTTATGCATTATTCTAGATATCCGTTGAAAGAGATTTGTTGCGTTTCGCGCAATTATTCTCTCAAATGCTCAGAATTGACAGGGCAATTATAGATCTCTCAACTGTTTTATCAGTACTTGTCAAATGCCAACAAGAAATAGAAAATAACAAATATAAAATTGCACATCCAGGACCCAAAGATCTGCCCCAGTTGTTAATAGTAATTATTTGTCATAATTTTTTGATATTGATAATAAGCATTATTGTTATAGGATCACAATGAACAGAATGTCGTGACGGCGTTGTATATTATCAAAATAATAACAAAGTTATCCTGTCGCACAGACATTGAAGTACTAAAAGAACAAATCGATCTTTTATATTCAACATTACTTAAATTTATACAATGTGATACACGATTAGCAGACGGTCAAACTCTGCTGCACTTATCTGTGAATGGAGTTACACCTGTGGATGATTTTTTACCAGCGGCAATATGCAGGTAAATTATAGAAATATATTATAAAATTTATAATTACTGTACACTTAAATACAGTGGAACTTGAAAAATCTAATTGTGCATATCTATTCGTTTAATAAACGTTTAGCAAATTACCTTCTCTTATATTATCACTATTTAAATATAAGTAAAAAGATAGCTTTGTCCCTGTCAAAGCTTCAATAGCCTTTACTCTGTGCGTCAGAATTAATTAATAATAAGCTTGTAGTTACGTATCCTAAGCTGATATGACCAGATGGTATTGCAACTATAATCAAATCTGATTTGATCGTTTCGACTATTATTGAAATTATATAGTATAATTTCCACTTTTTGAATGCACAACTTATGAAGAATTCATTTTTAAATATATCAGTGTTTTAGACTATATCTGTGTATTCCTTCAGTTTACTTCTCTTCTCAGTCAAAACAAAACAAATTTTCACGGTATATTATATATGTTAATATTAATATATAGTATCAGTTTTGACACTTTAAATCCAAATTTGAAATTTAATAGTAAACAAAACAGTTTTTTAAAAATATACGGATCTGAGTCATCATTTTATATGATAGCTTTATTTAAATCTGAATCGATCAAATGAAAATTATTTATGCGTGTATATCACATCGCATGTATATCCCATCCCATCTTAAACCTGGATACAGACATTGTTAAACTATATTATTTTCACTCTACATGATATTTATACCCAAATCTAAGTCGATCAGATGTAAGATATTTATATATATCACAATTCTTTCGATAAGTCTCAACATGCTGAACAAAAGTATATTTTTTCTATCCAATGTTTTTCTCACTACATTACAATCATTATTTACCTTCAATTAAAAATAATATAATATATATATATATATTATATATAATATTTACTTAATATAATATATACAACATACATATGTATGAAATGTAGTTCCATAAAATATATCGACGATCTCTACACCTCTGTGTATTCGTGTATTCGCACCCATTCTCAATATGAATTGCGGGACCATATTTATACATATGTATATTCAGTATTTAATTGGTATGATTGCTTAAAAAAATAAAATTTTACTTTAATTACTTAAAGTAATCAGTGCTTCGAATCGGAATTTTTTCCGTTCTGGTTTTCGTTTCGGTTTAAAACAAACAAAATATATTGAAATTTAGCTGACCATTCAACGCCAAGTATGCTAAGTACTCATCATCAGTGGTCTTAGGAAATATTTGAATTTCTTTTTAATTAGTTTATAGTCCGTATATAATTTGTTTCGACCGATTTCTGTGAATTTTTCAATTTTTATTTTATGTAGTTATCATTATCTTTATATTTTTAGATTTCCATGCTATCGTACAGCTTTGTTGCTAGTCAATATTGGAGCTTCTGTTTCTGCTATTGATTGTGATCGGAATACACCATTGCACACATTAGTTTCAAGTGTAAGTCTACTTTATATAATTCAAAAATTTATTTAACACAAATATAATATTTTTCTGTAGACGCAGTTCTCACCTGAAGAAAATCCACACCTTTCTGTGCAAGTGGAAAAACTTGTGAAACTTTTTGTAGATGTTGGTGCACATTTGGATGCAGTGAATGCACAAGGTCTTACACCAGCACAAGCTAGCAAAGTTGGTAAGTAAAGAGCTAATATCTTTATTTATTTCAATTTTAAAATTATTAAAAAATTCTTTTTATGATTTTTAGTCAGTATTGGTAATCTCATATTGGGCTTTCAAAATTCTATGACATCTCTTAAGTGCCTTACATCACGTTGCATTGCTCTGCATAAAATCAAGTACCAAGGATTGATCCCCACATCACTGGAAGCATTTATACAAATGCATAGTGCTGAGAAATTCTGTGCGTAATTTATTTAATATAATATATAAAATAATGTTTACATTTGGCTGCAGTATTTTGTAAAGACATTTAAAAACATGAATAGACTTAGATATGTCATAAAAAATTTTTAAATTCTAATTCAATCAACTTAAGATTGAATTACTATTTTTTAACTTTTACCAGAATAACCTAATTTGAATTTAAATTTAAAAAAAATAAATATAAATTTTTTTATGAAGTCTATTATTGTTCCTAAAAAAACTTGCAGTAAAAATCGTATGCAAATTTATTTTGTAAATTTAATAATATTATATGATGTATTTTGTTTTGTACTGTCTGGCCAAACTGGATCAATTATTGTTAATCAAAAAGAAAAAATTCAAAAAATTATTTATTTTTATACCATTTTTACACATAATTAATTTGAGCATTGAACAAATTTTTATAACGAAAAATTCTATTTATTTTTATTTTTTAGTTTAAAAATATTTTGACTGAATTAGTTATATATATAAATATATATTGTAAAATGTATTGTTGCATATTTTTACCGCCCAAAAAATTTATTATATTGCTTAAATATTTTATTTATTTGCCAAACTAAAAGTCTAACTTTAATTATTGATTAATGGGAAAATAATTGTAAGATAATAAATTTGTATAAAATAAAAACGAAAATATAAAAACACTAATATTTTTTAATCGCATTTGTTATATATATTTTTAATTTTATTATTTTAAAAGCGACAAACGATCTTAACCAAATATTCAAAAAAAAAACAGTTTATAATAATTAATTAAATTTATATAGCCGTGATTTATGCGTTTATTTTAAAAATAGCACATTAAGCAAACTTGCAGAAAGGCAAGCGATGTAAACCAAATATGCAGAAAAAAGAATTTGTAACAGTTAATTAAATGTATATAGCTGTGGTTTACGAGTTCATTCTATAAATAGCACAGGAATTTCACTTTTTGTATACGAATTAAAATAAAAAATTGTTAAAATTCAAAATTTGAATAACGCAACTTGAATATACGTTCACTTTTTGTGTTAATAGTAAGTCCACGGTTCAAATTCGATTGAAAGCGATTCTTACTACTTATAGTCTAGAAATTATGTACGTTTAAATAAAACAATCGATGTTTTCAAAGTCTACAGATGATGGATAATTTGTAAGCATATGAAACATACAGGTGTTTCATAAGCATATATATTACTAAACTTATAGAGATTTTCTGCAGAAATATGACTTTCCATATACGATAATTAATTATAAAAATAATTTTAAAAAAATCGGTGAATTATGTCCAGAAACTGTGTCTCCAAATAATTCAAAACAAAATAGAATATTTTTGAAAATATTAGTGAGAAAATTCTTCACTGTTTTTTTGAATAGTAGATATCATAAGATGACCTAATATATATCTTGAATTTAAATTTACTTTCTTATTGTGTAAGTTTAATTAGGTTGAGTATGTGGTCTATGTAGAAGACCGTTACTTTTCCCCAACGGTCTTCGGATTTTTTTTTACTTAAAAAGGGACAGCTATTATTAATCTCTAGTACTTTATGAGTTTATTTTATAAGTCCTGGATTTTTTTCTAAAGTTTTGTTTGTTAGAACTTTATTAGTCAACAAGGATTTTGGGATGGATTGGAAAGTGTCTAAGCTAGAACAAACGAGTGATTATCAAGACAGCTTTTATACATATGTATTATTATACGTATAGATTTTTTCTTCTATAAAGTTAAGTTTTTTACCTTACGAGTATGGGTATACATACGGTTGCAAACTCTAGATTCTGTAAAAAAATGAGGAGTAAGCCACACATGTGCTGTTAGAATGTTCTGCGCTAATGCATATACGGAATAGGCACCTGGGAATGTATATTCTTACAGAAGAGGCAATGAAACTCAGTAAAATAGATTTTATACTACTTTTTATTGATGCAATAGGGCTTAAAGACCTACTCTAAACCCAGATGGATGCACAATACACCCGACGGTCGCAGTGCCGCATCCTCTAACAATAATAATAATACTAAGTTGATTTTCAAATCATTGTCCATGTGCTTTTAACCTGTCGTTTGTGATACGTTAATATGCTTCCGCCTAAACCCTTAAATCTCTGCCCTCCTCCTGAAATATCTTCTCAAACAAAAATCCATTTTTACAATGCCTGTGTTAAAACCGTCCTATTGTATAGATTAGAAACTTGGTTGATCAACAGTACAACAACATAGAAAACTTTAAAGCTTTGCCAGTAGATGCCTGGGTAATATTTTGAGAATCTGGTGGCCACGTAGAATTTCAAATATGGAACTACTTCAAGGAATAAACTAAGAAGATATCAACAAACAAGTTAAGCGTCGGAAATATAATTGACTTGGCCACACTCTTCAAAAGCCGTAAGACGAAGTATTTCACGTAACACTTAAATGAAACTCCCAAGGCAACAGACACAGAGTAAGACCATGTAATACCTGGAGAAGAACTAAAACAAATGAAACCGACGAGTCTTTAAATGAATTACGTTAAATTGCTAGAAATAGAAATAGTTGGTGATTGTATGTAATAAGTCTATGCTCCTGATGGAGTACTGTTAATAATAATAATAATGATGCCCTGGTATAATGCTTATAGGGCTTTTATTAGAACCCTTAAACTATTTCTACATTTGACAGTTGTATGCCTTACGTCCGTACATCTATTTAATTACAAATTTATAGAACAAAAGTTTGTTCAATAATTAGTTCTAGGCTGTCAACTAGTACCTTACAGTATTTAATATTATAAAAAAAAAATTTATTACATATTTTTGCATATAATATTTTATTTTAAAAGTTACTAAAAATATGAGCGTAATTTATTTAAAATTAACAAATAGTATTTTCTGCTTGTTAACAATTTTATCATATAGAATCACAGTTCACAATTAGAAATACACTAACAAAAGTTCCTTTATAAAAATATTAATCGATTATAAAATTTTGAAAACCTCCTTTTGGATACATTATAAAAATTAAATTTTAGAAATAAGTTCTATTTTTATATATTGGCTTCACTGCTTTTTGAGGTCTGATGAACCTTTGGATACACTTCCGGTTGACGCATTACTTCTTCATAAGAGGGTGGTGGTGCTAAAAGTATAAAAATATCATAATTTACACATTAGTCCTTTTCACACTAAAAATAGATATAAAATGTATTAATTATGAAAAAACCAAAAAGAATGACAATTATAAATATTATGAACAATAAACTAATTTTGCTAGCACTTAGCATTAGCGACATCGACATCATTATTTGCTAATTAATTATTAATTAAATAATTTTGTAAAAATAGAAAAAGGACAATAAATTATTTTCCAGCTGATACTTAGTCATATTTACGTCAATTAACTATAAATGACCTCACAGATTATATTAACCTTATGTGTATATTAATTTTTAATAAAGTATTTGTGACGTCATTTGAATTTACTTACCATTGATAATGTATTCCTCATCATGTGTGTAGGCAGGATTAATAACTGCATCTGTTGGATATGTCGCCGTTTCGATGGTTCGTTCTTCAATGGTTGAACGCTGTGATCTATGTGAGTGTCGTCTTAGACTTTGACTATTTTGATGATAAGAATCCATTAAACGATTTTCGCTTTCGATGTCGTCCGATTGTAATTGTATAACGTGAATTGAAGGACGTCGACCTGGTAAGGAAAATAATTTTATTTTTAATTATGAGAAGAATTTTCTAAATTTTAAAATAATTTTAAAATAAAATTTATAATTTAGATTAAGAAAATAGAAATGCTTCGAACAGTAGTATATAGCAACAACAAAATTTTTATTTAATTCCAATTAATTGAATTTATGGCTGACCATTGATTATTGCTAAATACCCATCATCATTGATTAATGAATTATTTCTTATATTAATTTATTCATTAATAATTTATTAAGACTACCAGTACCTGTCCGTATCCTGCCAGATTTAAAGCTTAGAGTCAGTGTTCGTTACCCAACTAAGCAATTTTGGAATTATTTCTTATATTTAATTATTTGTAAATAAGTTTTTGAGACTGCTAGTATCAAGTATTGAACACGTACCCTACCAAATTTAGAGTTCAGTGTCAGTGTGAACAGTGACTCAAGTAAAGTAAAACCGTACTTAACTACATATTCGAATTTGGAATTTTGTTTAAACTTAAAGCTTTTAATACTGTTTGAAAAATTTCTCTATTAAATATTATAGTTTCTGTAAAGTAACTACGGTTATAACTGACGTTAAAATCAAATTTAATATATATTAGTAAAATTTAATTCTATTTTATGAAATAAAATTTATAGCTATAGCTATATGATCTAACAAAGCTCTACAGATAATTGAAACTCAATCATGGGCGTAAGGCGTGATATACTGACATGACAGAAGCATTTATATATTTTTAGAATGAGTTCATTAGTTCTCATTCAGCGAAAGGACTAACGGCCATTGTATTATTTTGAAATAATTAAACGTTGTTGAAAAGTTTAATTAATAGTTAATTAAGATAAAGCTATTCTAACTAAGCTACACCAGATGCGCTTAGTGGATTATAAAGATATTATGGATTAACATATGACTCAGTAGCTTATTAAGACACAACAGTTCATCAAGCTAGTTTACTATATTAAAGATAATGGTTTTCATTAAAAAAGAAGGGGTTAGCGGCCCTTTGCGATAACAAGAACAGTCATCGCTATCGACGTGATGATTAAGTCTTGAAATAAGATCTTATTATACTTTAATCAATAACAATAGAAACGATCTTCTTCGATTTATTAATTTTAATGGTAGGAAAATAAGAACTGGGAAACTTTTAAAGAAACTAGCTTAGAAAATGATTGGAAGACAAGCAAACTTTCCTTACCATTTACAAGCACGTGGAAAAGAAAGATGGGATTTAGTATTGGATTTAGAAATGGAAGATAATGTAATAAGGAAGTAGAGTAATAATATTTCAACAAATTTAGTTTCTATTATACACGAAGACCTTTCGTAGGACATTTCTTTTTTTCGTGTAACGTTCAGAAATGTGAATTTGGAATAATAATAATATCCGGTTTATAGA